CTGCACAGTGATGGATCCCTTATTCTATTCATCTTTCTGTAGAATTCGCTGCTTTCTATCTCTTTCTGTTCCTGAGACCACTTAAGTAAAAGTAAAATCTCTCCCTCTGTAGAACGCTGTGACAGAATTTCCCCAAAGAGAATCAAAGTAATGTTTTGTAATGATGAAATTTTAAAGTCTAAGAGAATGATTCATAAATACTTTCAGTCAAAAAATTGGGGCTGGGGAGATAGCTCAGTGGTCTAAGTGACTGCCTTGCAAGCACAAAAACCTGGGTTCAATCTTGGGCACTGCATGCCATGTCTGGGCATTCAGTGATGGCCAAAGCAATGGGGCATTGTGGTGCATGCCTGTAATCCCAGCGCTGAGGAGGCTGAGACAAGGAGATCACTATGAGTTGGAGCTGCATGTGAAACCCTGTAACAAATAAATGATTAAAAATTAATTAATACTGTTGTGTTAAAGATTCCATATTTTCTGATAGGTAGATCACACTCCACAATAAATTGCTGCAATATTTTTTAGAAGACAGCAATGATGACAAATAAAAAGAGTAATCACATGTTTCTAATCACTATCAAGTTAGATAACAGCATCAACATGACAAAATCTCTGTTGTAAAAAACATAAAAGGAACACTCTATTAATTTAAAAACACATTGTTTTCATAAAATCATTGTTGAACTATTTTCATTAGATAAGCAGGAAAACTGCTCTGATAAAAACAAAAATTGAAATTTCAAGGCAAAAGGCATGGTTTTCACAATAATATATTTTACAGACTTGTATCATTTTCGTAACTATAATTATTTATTGCTGAATTAATAGGTTAAGAAGTTAAGCTATATTCAGAAGGATTTTCTCTCAGATCAGAATAAAATTTATTATATGATTGTGCACAATGGAACATATGCAGTGTATTGTTCCACAATGATCATGATTGATTAAATGATGAAATAACCCTTTCAGCTGCTGCACTAAGTACATTGTTTTTACAGCTTCTTCTCATGAAGAAATCTCTTTCACTCTTTCAAATTTTTAAAGGAACATAATGTCCCCTTAGAATCTACTATATAATTTGGTTTAATTACAAAGTCCCTTCTGTTTATTAATGATCTAGACACACGTTTTCATACCTTTTTTTTTCTTTTTGAGACTGGGTCTCACTATGCAGCCCAGGCTGGTTCCAAACTCATAGCAGTCTTCCTGCCTCAGCCTCCCTAGTGCTGGGATTACAGGTGTGCACCATCATGCCCAGCCTTGTACATACTTTTAATTAATGATTAGATAGTGTCATTGTAGAAAGGATTTATGTAAACTGTATGAGAAAACTAGAACAACAATTCTAAGACCTGGGCTGTTTTATGCTGAGATCCTAAACAACTTAGTGTTTCACTGAGCAATAAACAGACTCAACAAGCCAAGAACAATACCAGGAAAGAGAGCCACATCATTTAATGCAAACTTTTTTAAATAAGGACAAAAATATTTATACTAAGCAAAACCAAGAGGAATTTAAGAGTGTTGAAGAGTGTATACATATAGCCTCTCACTATGTCCCAAAATTTTGACTTATATCTCTTTTCTTAGGAATGCAGCTTCTTTTGTACATTTATTTTATTCTTCTATACCCAAGAACGTCCTAAATGCTAATAGCATAGGAGCCACAAGTTCATGTTTTATCAGCACTACAGCAGCCAGAATGCTATCTAATAAGTCACAGTTTGATAAATATTGATTAATCTGAGCTACTGAAACAGAAAACCTGTAGGATGAAAAACTAAACCAATGTGATGTAGGGGATGTGACAGCTGTAAGACATGTGGATAACATTGCTAGCAGTCACCTCACGACTGTTCTTGTAAGGAAATCAATAAAGTAAAACAAGTCTCACAATATTTCACAGGTATATCAACTAAATAATGAGTTAAACTTACAGAAGTTGAGAGTATAAAGGTGCTTAAAAGATGCTGGCAAGAGTAATAAGGGTAAGAGATGAAATTTGAAGAGGTTACCAAATTTTGAGGAGACATGTTTAACCCAGTTCAAGCACTATGCAATGCATACATGTATTAAAACTTTAAATTATATTCTATAGATGTGCATATATTTTCTGTTTAATATATAATTTGAACTTTATTTTTAAATGAATATTTAAAAACATAATCTAAAGGTTAAGAAATTACAATTAAATTTAATATATATTTGAGCTTACCAATGTTCTCCAAAACAATTGAAAATTTTCTCATTTCTAAAAAGGATGCTTTTACTTCCAACATTTTAGTAATTATGCACCAATTTTATTTTCATACTAATAAATCCCATTATTAAAAGAAGAACAATGAGGGCTGGCGAGATAGCTCAGCAGACAAAGCGCCTGCTTACGCAAGCATAGGGCCAGGGTTTGATCCCCGGCACCACAGGCCGGGCTGGCCCAACCCCCACATGTGCTGTGCCAGCCAAGGAGTCTGTGATCACAGCACTGGGGAGGCTGAATGCA